GGGGGGGTTGGGGTAAGAAGAAGAGGCAGAGATGAGTTTCCGCAAGGAGGACGGAGTGGGCAGCCTGTGCCAGAAGGCGCTGCACATCGTCACGGAGCTGTGCTTCGCGGGCCAGGTGGAGTGGGAGAAGTGCTCGGGCATCTTCCCCCGGGACCGCGGCGGCCAGGGCGCGCCCAGCACAGGTAACGGCGGCCCCGCGGGGCGCCCGTCCAGGAGGGGAGCGGGCCGGGGCCGGGGAGGGGGGGGGTGGACACAAAACCTGCCTACCTCCTCCACCCTCCATCCTTCCTCCTGGCGCCCCTCAGCCGCTTGGGGGTCTTGGGGTACGGGGTGTTAGGGGGAGGGGTGGGTTTTGCTTCTTCTCCCACTCTGGTCGCCTTCCAGCCTCTCCACCTCCCCATCCTGTCTGGCGCTCTCTCTCTCTCTCTCTCTCTCTCTCTCTCTCTCTCTTCCACCATCCCCCCTCTCTTCTCTCTTTGTATGTCTTTCTGTCTCTCTCTGCCTCCCTCTGTCAGTGTCTCTCTCTCTCTGTATCCCCCCCACATCGGTCCTCCCCCCCCCCCCGGTCCCCCGTTTCTGTCTAGATCTCCGAGCTCTCGCTCCTATGCCTCCAGGTTCCCAAGTCTAAGCACAGGCCAGGAGCCCAGAGGCGCCGCTCCCTCCCCGGCTCGCTGTATTTGCTCCGCTCCAGGCTTACCTAAGCGTCCGGGGTCACCATCACCGGCTTGACCTTGACGGAGGGAAGGGGGTCAGCTAGCTGGGGATCTGGAATCTGCTGCACGCCGAGAACCCCGGGGGGGGGGGGATGAGTGGCTGTCCTGGCTTTGGGATAGGAGAATGAACGGATCTTCCTTTGGGGGAACTTTCAGCTACAACCTGTCGAGCTCTTGGGAGTTTACAAAGCGTGTGAACACTGCAGTTAGGTGTCTGATGGCAAAAGAGCAGGGATTATTATGTTTTTTTTTAATGTTTACTTTAAGTAATTATATAGAAGAGTCACCATTAACCAGTACAGTGCCTCTTGACCAGTGTCATCCTATGAATATCGTCACCCATCCCTCCCACCCCACCCCTTCCCTCACTTCTCTTAATCTTTAGATTATGTGTTGAATTTGTTCTCCTCATTTAACAAAGCAGTTTATGAGAGCAGGGATTCTGGATCTCATGTTGAAGACCGAGGCCAACTAGAGAGGAAGTGGATTAGAGGGTCTGAAACCCAAGCAATTCCTTCCCTGTTCCCATAACCCTTCCCTCACCCCCCCAAAAAAACCCAGGCACTCGGCCTACCCCTCCCAGCAACTTATAAGAACCTTAGGAGGGGTGGATGGGGGAAGAAGCCCCCTGTCAGAATCCTGGAGAGGAGAACTAAGGGGGTTGGGAGACAGAGACAGAGAGAGAGAAAGACAGGGACAGAGACAGATGAAGGAGGGAAGGAAGAAGGAAGGAAGGAAGGAAGGAAGGAAGGAAGGAAGGAAGGAAGGAAGGAAGGAAGGA